CTTGTTGGCCATCTGCATTTCCTCCTTGGAGAAGTGTCTTTTTAGCTCTTCTGCCCATTTCTAACAAGGTTGTTTATTTTTATTGAATTTCATCAGTTCTATGTATGTCTTTGTGATCAATCCTTTATTGCTAGTTTCGTGTGAGAAATTATTCTCTAATCAGTGGGGTGTGTGTTTTTGTAATGTCTCTTTTGCTGTACAAGCTTTCTAACTTCCCATCAAATTATCCTTGCCTTCACTATTGTTGCATTGGGTGCTGTTTATCATAAAGATGTCGCTGAAGTGTATGTCGTGTATGTCGTGTAGTGTTTGGCCTATCTTTGTTTCCAGGTATTTTATGGTTTCCATTCTTAGTCTAGGTCTTTAATCCACTGCAAGTTGATTTTTGTGTATGGTGTGAGGTAGTGACATAGTTTCACTGCTTTTGCATATGGCTTCCCAGTTTTCCCAGCACCACTTGATGAATAAACTTCCTTTCTTCCATTGTCAAAAATTAGCTGCCCATAAACCTGTGGGTATTTGTCCGGGTTTTGTATCCAAATCCACTGGTAAGTATATCTGTTCTTGTTCCAGTACCATGCAGTTTTGATTATGGCTTTGTAGTATAGCTTGAAGTTTGGGATTGTAATGCCTCCATTCTCTTTCTTCTTAGTCATGAGAGTTTTTGGCTATTCAGGGGTCTTTTGTTGTTCCATATGAATCTCATCAATATTTTTTCTATTTCTTTGAAGAATGTCATTGAGATTTTTATTGGGATGGCATTAAATCTGTATATTGCTTTTGGCAGGATGGCCATTTTGATGATGTTAATTCTCCCGATCCATGAGCAGGGGGTGTCTTTCCATTTCATGGTGTCTTCTTGTATTTCTTTTAACAGTGTTTTGTAATTTTCTTTGTAAAGCTCTTTTACCTATTTTGTTAGGTTGATTCCCAGGTATTTGATTCTTTTTGTTTTAACTGAAAAGGGGATTTTTTTATTACTATTTCTGCTTGTTTTGATTGTTTGTATATAGGAAGGCCTCTGACTTTTGTCACAAGCCATTTTTAATGTCTGTGCTGGTCAGTAGGTTTAAAGGAGTGGTGGAAATTTATTCTTTAAATTAAATGAGTTTATAGTCACAGGACACATCTATTTGTGGATCTGATAATGAATCATATGTATTACAGTGAAGTATACATAGTTCCTAGCTCTGGCATATAAAATGAAGTCCCCAACTCGGTATGTAGTAGTCCAACCTTGGAGATGATATCAACAAGAGGAGACAGGGTGTGTGGTGACAATAAAGCTTATCACTTATAGACTAATTCTTGCAAACTTGTAAATAAATATTCTGTCTTACAGAAAGTATAGGTGAATATTTCTGAATAGTAAGCCTCAGTGGAATTATAACATAAAGCTAGACAATGATGGCTAACTGAAGAATCTTAAGAAACAAAACTGCTTTGAAATATTTAAGAGGCTACCTGACACTGATAAGTCAACTAGAAGGAGATTTTATCTACTATCGCTTTAGTGCTTAACTTTTTATTTATTCTGAGACACCAGTATGCTAAAATATGGATACATGTATTTGTTGGAATACCAACCAAATTAACAAAATATTATAGAAATAGATTCCTAACCTGAGTCATCAGTAAAAGCATTATTAATCTATTTGGCTCATTAAATAAAATCTATTCACAAGGCAAACTTTATGGGGATAGACATGTGTATAGAACAGAAGGCCAGTCTAGGTACCATGGTATTTCTCCAAATTTACTTACCCAATTTTATCCTATGGAAGAGGAAACATTATACTGGTTTTGTCAAAGTGGATATATCATGCCTTATTTGATCAGTTTCTTACTGAATACATATAGGTATTCCACATTTTTTCTACTAATAAAAATGTAGCAATTTAAGTATATATTTGCTTAAGCGTGCACTTCAGCCATGCCTCATAAATAACACATCTTTTGATTTTATCATGTAAATTCTAGATGTAAGGATATAAAATATATATGACAAAATGACTGTCCTTTTGGTTTTACCAGTAGTATAAACACATCCTTTAACAATATTGAAATGTTTTACTTTCCCTAATTATTCATTTCATGGACACGGCTACAATAGTCATCTTTGGTAAAATTTTTAGGTTATTTGTTTCATGGCAATGTTTTTTCCCACTAGATATGGAAATCAGTCTTAAAGGTTGTACACATGTATTTCCACTAGAAACATATGCATTAAAATAGGTTATTTGTATGAGTATTGGCATTTGCTTAACAACAGAGAATAACAATCCTTCATTCAGAATGTTTTCTTAACATCATTGTGAGAAACTATCTTATTCTTTAAATGCTGACCAAACTTAAGGACCCTTATAACTGGTGTTTCCTTAGCCTAGAATATTCTTTTTTTTCCCCTCATGTACTGGTCTTCTTATTCATAAATTAGATTTCAAAGAATATAAACATCATCTGCCAGATAAAGTAGCACCTTCTCCATATCATTTTGCTTTCTAATCATTTGTACTTCCTATGTCACATTTTAAATATTTAATAATGTTACTTATTTTGGCTTTGATTCCTAGGTGTACACTATCAGAGATCTTGTTATTCATAACTGTACATTCAGATTCTAGTATAGTGTTTAGAAAATAGAGCAAGGTGAATTCATGGGTAAAAATGATTGCATGAATGAATGGAGTAAGGTTAGAACAGTATTTCCTTTTAATGAATTATTAAATGAAACTGTAAATACACATAACTAATAATACATCAAAATTCACTGTAGTTACAAGGTTGGGTTTTTTTGGTCAGTCAATACATTATATGATTAAGAAGCATCCACATGAAATGTAACTTAAACAGCTAATCACCAGCTCAATGATAGGGTAGTATTCCTTCAATTTATCTTGTCATTAATTTGTTCACTGACATTGAATCAGATAAGAAAATCAGCCAAATAATATTTCATTATCAGAAAACCTACCACACAAAAATGCTTAATCAATTTAATAAGCATTTTTCCAACATGGTTTAAGAAAAATGATTGTTTTCATAGCAATATTGGAATTTCCAAGTAACTGTAACTGAAGTAAAAAATTGATTGCTAATGAACTATGTTCTGAAGTCTAAGTGATGCAAAGCTATATGTATTATAAAATGTTTTTCAGGCCTTTTTTTTTTTAATGTTGAAAACTATTAACTATTCCAAAACATGTAACTTTAGACTATTTTATTTTCCTCAAGTTTCACTGTCATTTGCCTATGCCTTTTCTATTACTACATGTGCTATTAATGGATGCAGCGTGCAATTATAAGAGACAACCTTACTAGAGGAATGTAATTTTTTTTTTTTAATTTAATCAGTTTGTTGTTATCCGACGTCACTTGGTTTTTCCTTCCCTCTCTCCTGTTCTGCTTCTCATCTAGAAGAAACACAGCCATATGTTCCTACAAAATCTTTATCGCTAGCTTCCAATGGCTACCTTCAGGGGTATGCTGTTTACTGCCCTTCTTATGGGTGCTCAGGTTTGAGATCAACTTTATAAGAAATACACGTTCATTTGTAATGACAAGGTCCAGGCTGTTCTGATGAATGTCCTTCCCCTAGCCTGACTGACAGCAGAGAGCTGCAGAGGATGACAATTTGTCAGACAACAAATCAATCTGTTTTCTCCATTAAGTAATAAGGAATGAAAGGGCAGAGGCATGGGAGGGGGGAGGGTGCTTTCTATAATTACCTGGAGGCCTACCAAAGATGTTTGTAAATCAGGCATGTTAGCAATGTGTATACTTATTATATATGCAGTCATGTGCATGTTTGAGTGATGAGACTCCAATACTCAACAGATACCTTCAACAATAAAACGATGAGAAGAAAAGTATTGAACAAGCTGTGAATGTAAACCTTAGTATCCCCTGGGGGAGGTAAGAATATGTTGAGTGGAGAGATGGAAGGTATTTAATGAAACAGACTGAGTTATAGAGGCTTTATGAGTGGAAAACTGCATTTACTATTAGTATTGCTTTTTTTCAAGTAATTCTTTCACAATGAGGCTTCATTAGAATAGCCTGATTTATCCAACAGCTGCCTTGGCATGCATTTCACATGGACTGTGCTGATGAATTTTCAGATGATACATCATTTACCTAATTTTGTCAACTCCAAATTCCAAATAAACAAAGACCTACATAAAAAATGTAGTTTTCAGGAAATTACAAATATTTGCTACTACTTTCATAGAGTCAACAAAATAGGATTTTTATGCTGCCATTGATATGCTTAAAATTTAACAATAAAATGAAAGTTTGAGACATAAGGTAGAAATATGTTAAAACCAGAGTTATTAGGGGCTCTTTGAGTTTGCCTTCCAAACTGGGTGTATAGTATCCTAGGAATGTTTGTTTTCTTGATTTCAAAATGCACAGTGTAATGTGTTTAAGAAGAGATTTTTTTTTTCCAGTAAAAATAGAAGGGGGGATCTCTGACTATCCAGTGAATGGAATACAGCTAAGCCAAAGAGACAGCTTTTAACCAGGCAACCAGGAAAATACCTCCTTCTCTTTCATCGTTCTTTTACACAATGCCTTCTGCTCTCCTTATGACCATGTATGTCTATCCTCATAGAAACCAGATGGGTACTTTCAGTTTTATACTTCCTTCTTTTATTCTTCTGTTCTTAAATGTGTGGTCACATAGAAGGAATAGCAGCATCCTAATCTGTACCAAATAATTGTATACAAAATGTGAAAAGTCAAGTATTCTGAGTGTGCCTCTGACCATGTAAACAAAGGGAGAAGTTGTTAGCAGGGAATTGAAGCCTGTGGTTCACAAAGGGGCTATATTGACAGATGATACATTTCTGATTTTTTTTTTTTTAATTCCAGTGAAAGGAATAATAGTAAGCGGAAGCATTTCCCATGGGTAATCTGAACAAGGTTGTTGGTGTGTCCAAGAAATATTATTAGCCCTATAAAAAATATCCGAGATTGTAACATGTCTTTCATTACAGGAAATTTCAAGAATCAAAGCCTTAATATCTCATCTCATTCTGTCTGAGACACAAGTATTTAACAAATAAAGGAGAAACCACTGATGTTGGGAAAACTGGACAGTCACATGCAAAAGAATTAAACAAGATCACTATCTCCCATCGTTCACAAAAACAACTCAAAAGGAATTAAAGGTACAGATGAAAGACCTGAAACCATGACATATATGGAAGGAAACACAGGCAGACCTCTCTAAGACATTGACTTCAGAGATGTCCTTGGGTTTTTTACTACAAAGAAAGGGAAACAAAAGTAAAAACAAATGGGACTACATCAACCCAAACGTTTTTGAATAGCAAAACAAAAAACAAACTAACAAAAAACTATTAGTAAATCAGAAGACACCTTACTGTATAGGAGAAATTATTTGCACATCATGTACTTTACAGTGGGTTTATACTCAAGATTTACAAAGAACTGATACAACTCAACAGTAACAAAATCCCATTAAAATATTAAAGATGGCCCTCCCTGGTGGCGCAGTGGGTTAAAGCACAGAACAAAAAAGCTTAAGGCACTTCTGCATGATTTCGATCCCCTCCTGCCCCGGAGGTGACCACATGGCACGCCAGAACTCTCCTGACTCGCCTGCTGCTCCCCTCAGCAGTGTACTTCATTGATCTGCCTGTTCTGCTCCCCACTCTGTCTCTGGTGAACCCTCTCACCCTCTGCATCTCTGGCCTGTATCTCAGTTCTGTATGAATAGATAAATAAATCTTTAAAATATATATATATATATTAAAGATAATATACATTTTACAAAAGAGGGAGTTTTCTTAAAATATTCAAAATAGATCTGCATCCATTCCTTTACTAGGTATCTACCCCAGAAATGGAAAGATGCTAATTTGAAGAGACATATACATACCTATGTTCACTGCAGCATTATTTGAAAATAGCCAAGTTAGAAAAAACTTTAGTGCCCAATGATGGCAAATGAGTGTGTAAGATATTGTAGTGTATATACATTGAGGAAAACTACTCAGCTATAAAGAAAAAATGAAGTCTTGCCATTTGTTACAACCATGGATAGAACTGGCAGGGATTATGCTAAGTGAAATAAGTCAAAAGACAAACATCAGGTGACTTCAGTCATATTTAGAATATAAGGAATAAAACAAAGAAACTACAATGCTAATCCCAAACAAATCTTTATCTCTGACTACAGAAATGAAGCTATCAGAGTGGGAGGGTGAGGATAGGAAAAAAGAGGGGGGATTTCTCATGTAGCTGCAGATATAGCTACTTCCCTTAAGCCAGGTTACATGTTTTAACTGGACTGAAAGCTTTGATTATTCCATTAGGCTAGGCATTTTATTATTATTTGTGATGAAGTGGCTATCATTTTATATTATTAAAAATGGTAAGAGACTGTTCTCTCAGCATTTCATCTACAAGTCAAGAAAAGTTCCAACTGGATAAAAATTAAAAGGACAGAGGAAGACAAATTAAGTTTGCTGTGTAATTAGTCACCATGATTCATTCTAAATGCCAGAGCTGCAGCTATCCCAATTGGTACTCATATTAATACAGTATCGGTGCGGCTTTACTATGCATTTATTCATTCAGTATATATCTGCTACATTTACTGTGTGACGATCACTCTTCGAAGCACTGGGGATACAACAGTGAACTCAACCCAAGTTAGAGAATGAGAAAGGATCCCAAATTAAGTTGTGTTTGTACAGAGAATTAAAAGGCATGTAGACATAAGACTGACAGGCAATCTCGCATAGAATGCTCCAGGCAGAAATAAATCTGAGTCTGAAAAAAGTATATATGAGTCATACAAAATGTTAAGAGGTTGAGTGAAAATATGAATTCTATAGAACATATTAAGATATTTAGATTCTAGGGAAATTTCAAAAACAAAGCAGCACTTGGAAATCACAACACAGATAAAAATCATATAAGTGATGCTAAGCATACAACGTTGTTTTAATATTAATGGTCAGTAGTGATGGATTTTTAATAGGGAATGCATTTGCATATGAACAAACAATTTTCTGAAAATCATAGTGAACATTTTAGCACCAGATAGTTTTAAGGGAATTGTTTTAAATGGTCAAGTGTTATATTCAGTCATTAATAATTTAAACATACATATTGAAAATCTATCTTCAGGAGAATTACAGATATTATATTTAGTTCTATTTTTGCAGGATGCATCATAACTTTTGCTATCTTCATCTTACAAGTAAGAACACTGTGGTACAGAATGTTAAAAATATAGCATCCTGTGATTACAGAACTGGAAATTGGTGGAGAAGGAAATACCTTTACCTTCAGCCATGCTTCTAGATAAATGTGAGAAGCTGAATCATTTAACACAAGAGTAATTGATCTAAATTTCAAATTCAAGTGAATGCTTGTCAGTTTTATTAGACAAGCTGACTTGCTTTTACCATCCAAAGGTTTTTGCATTCTTTGCAATTTCATGGGCAAGGACATAACTACAGCCTACTTTTGCTCTTAAATTGTGAAATTATTCCCATTTACCCTTTAGAAAGCGCATGTATGCTGATCAATCCACAAATTCTCCTCCTCTCTCTAACAATATACATTCTGGCAATCTGTAAGACCTTTCTCACCCACTTCTAGGCTGGGGCCCACTGGTTTTATTGGATTACTCCAACAGTAACATTATACTGTAGGACTGTACATTAGAATGATGTATCATAGTAATTCTAATGCAGTTATTCTAGTATGATTTAGACTGTAATCCTAAAGCATTATCTAGATATAACACTAAAGCAATCTCTGAGGAAATTTTGTTCATTGCAGCCAGAGAAAGGAAAGTTCTATTTTGTGCATGAATTATTAAATATATAGTTAAAGGGGTAGCAGCCCTTTTAGTTTAGCAAAGCTCATTGTTTTAATTGGTGAAAATGACAAATGACCAAACATTTGCAGTACCCAGAGCTAAGGGAAACAAAAGAAAAGAAAGCAAAGGAGGCGAACTGGGCCTGAGATTGAGCTGCATCTCAATGAGAGGGAGAAATTCTCCCAGTTGTTTGACAGAGCTACTAATCAGTGTCCTATTTCAAAAAAGAGATCATAAATTTGAAAGGATTTCTGCACAATTACGGAATGTAAACATACGCACTTGAATAAAAAACTTAAAATAATTTATCAGACCTTTATGTGTGTCTTAACATGCTACAAATTAGATAAAAACCTAGGGGGACAAAACTTGCTCAGATTCAGATGGAAACATCTGTGGTCCCCAGATTTTAGTTCTTACACTTTCATCTGGATGGCATTTGTTTATAGAAGAAGGCAAGGCAAGAGAACAGTATACTCTGATGCTTTTGAGGTTTCGAGTGCTCCCTCAAAATATTTGACTCTATTTTCTTCAAAACAGCACATGCAAATACATCTATAAAATGTAAATACACAATTTGTAACATCCAGACCCCCAAAATACACAGAAATTAGATGCTCATTTTTGTTGCTCTATTTGTTTTACTTTTTCAGGCTAGCCAGGCTAAGTGCTTGAATCTGTAAGACATTTCTCTCCTCTTTTTGTTAAAATAGTTTTCAAAAACTCAAAACAGTCTAAAGAGTGGTACTATAAACATCCCCTATACTGCCCACCTAGATGTAAAAACAGACAGGATTTTTACATATATACCTTAACTCTAAGGACACACTTAGGTATACCCCTAAGGTATCATTGTTTTTGTTGCTGAATGATTTGAAAAGAAGTTGCAAATATAACTACCAAAATTACCCTTAACTGTTTAATTATACACTATTCAAACTTTTGCCACAAGAATTTTCATTATAGGAGGTAATAATTACACCACATCAGGAGGTAAATGTCAGCTTGTCACAGTATTAGGGGTGCTAAGTTGTATTACTTGTTTAAAGTGGTAACCTGTAGGCATCCTCATTTTCAAAGTCTATTTTTTTCTTTATGAATAATTGCTGGATTGACACCTTGGCACCATGCAAGTATCATTTCCCCCAAGCACTTTATTTAATCTAATGGCTTTCATTGATCAACCTTGCCTAGAAAATTGATAGGAATTACAAAATGGTAATTAATAATTCTATTTTTTTCTATTCATTAACTAATATTATTCTATGTGTTAACCAATATTCCTAATTGATTATTAACAAATAAATTAGGAAGTCTTTCCTGATCAACACTGCAATTTTTTTCTGATAGCTAAGAGTGTGGTTTTTATTTGTGTGACTAATATGGCTGCTGCTCTTATGACTGCCTCATGAGCGCAGGGTGCATTCTTTGTCCAAGGAACTGCAATCCCACATGTACTTGACCCACAGACATCTGGGATGAGACACTTTTCAACCACCCTGTCTTGAAACCCATCCTTGTTAAACTTGTGAAAACTACACTTTTGGGAAATATACAATATTTGTCAGCTAGGGTACTTGAACCTAGTCCATTAGAGTATGTTTATAACAATTCCTTGTTTAATGTGTTGGTATGGACAGACATGATATCTAGGTCAATGTGACCTCTGGCTGCTGTATCCTGGGGCTTCTCAAGGCACCCTGCATACTTGTCTGGACATTTTCAGCCCCAGAATAGGACATCTTATTAATATGGCTAACTTGAAATGGGTGGAGCAACACTGATGTGAAAACTAGCTTTGCCATAGCTAAGTACATAGCTCTTCGACATGTACCTGCCACAAATAAAGGCATCCCTGGGGCTGTGGAGAAAAGATATTCATCTGACCCCATGTGGCCACAGAGTAGGAACTCATCCACGTTTGCCTTCCTCTGTCTCAGGTCCCAGAAATGAATGCTGGCATCAGGGACCCCTCACCGAAGGAGACTTCGGGTACAGCTGGCTCTTACAACACCTGTAATACTGAGCAGAGTGGCGACCCTTGGAAACACCAGGATAGCAGATGGTGCACCCAAGTTAAAGACACTATTTTGTGATTTTTTATATCAAACTTAACTGTTTGATTAAAATGTAGAATTTGTTGCCAGGGGTTAACATTAGGAGGAGATACATCACTGACTGAAGAGACAATATCCAGCATTTCTTTATAAAAGTGTGTATTGTTTTATGATATGGACCACATATCTAAGTTTTGTAATTAAATAACTAAGACACTGAAAATTATCTCTTCCAATGTCAAGTTGTTTAATTATATAGCTTTAAAAAGCTGTGCTTTTTGAGTACCTAATATGCGCTGGCCAGTTTGTAAATTAACCACTATGTCTGCAACACTTCAATACAGAAGAGAAACACTTTACTGAAATTAAACATACTGCCAAATATTTTGTTTCTAAATTAAGTTTCAGAGCTAAGAGATTGCTCCCTTCAAGAAAACTGATTCTCTGTTGTTGTGTATGAGATCACTTCTACAGTCAGAAGGTTCACAGCATGCCACTAAACATTTCAATTAATAGAACTCAGATAAACTTAGATCTGTTTCAATGAAGACTTGAGTAGATTGTTAACATATACCCAGGATTTTTTTTTTTTCCAAGAATGAAGTCAATAAATCAGGAGAATATTGCCATGGAAAGAAGAGTTGGTTACTCAGGGTTCCCAAGGGGAGGGGAGTCCCACTCTACTTAAGGTTAGGGAGGAAACATCCAGACTGGTCAGGTGGGAGGTTTTCACAAGTTTGGACAAGACAGGGTAGAAAATCTCAATAGATACAGGATTAGATAGTTTGAATAATTCCAGTGTGTTCTGGACTACTGGAGAGAGGGGGTGTTTGCTTCTTGTATGGCATTTTCCCCAGGCCCTGAAAAAATTAAGGATGTAGGTGGGTGTCTTGGGAGTGCTCTGGAAGGATGATGGGCAGAGGAGAGTGTCTTAGAAGTTCCAGAATATAACAAAGGTAGACAGATGGAAAATATACACAGGGGTTAGCTAGCTTGCATTGATTAACAACTTGTTTACAGGCACCTTTTTTTTTTACTGTCTCTAGGAATCACTACACTAAGAGGGGTATAGTCCCTTCTGTGGTCTACAGGGACCCAAGATTTCAACTTAAGAAAATGAAGAAAACATATCTAAATAGTAAGAATTTCTTTCCAAAGTAAAGGAGCTGTATATGCATAAGTTGGATCATAACATGTATCTACATGAGGGACTACATTTTTATCAATACCTACTGTCAGTACATTTACACAGAAGTATATTAGGAAAATTTTGCCAGTGATGTAACCACAGTTTTTTAAAGGATTTAATTTATATATCTATGCATACAAGATCTGGCGGACAGGCTAGAGGTGGGGGTGGGTAGGGTGACAACATTCCTCAGAGACAGAGTGGGGAACAGAATAGATAGACTGAAATACATTGCTTAGGGGAGCAGTGGGTGAGACAGGAAAGGTCTGCTGTGCCATGTGGGCCACCTCCCTAGCCAGGAATCAAATTTGTGCAGCAGAGACTGAAATAGTTTCATAATGCTGAAACTTAACCGCTTGAGCCACCAGAGAGGGACCCTATAATTTCATTTTTATGGAAACTTATCTTACTAATAAAACCATCAGCAATTTTTATTGTAGCTCAATGTATTGTAGTGGATATTAGTGGAAGGGTCTACATGCTTTTATACTTTCATTTAAAAATATGAATATTTATATATACGTTATGTATAATTTGTATGCCATATGAACATTTTGAATAGTTCATAGTATTGTCATGATCCAGAGATATCAATTGCTCCAAAACAAAATGAAAATTATTTATTATACTTTTCACTACTAGTATGTTCATTAATTTTAATAACAATTATTTAATTGGCTTCGAGTGACAGTTCTACATTTATCTGATGTCAATGGCTGCTATTTAAGATATACAAGATGATTGGTCACTTCCATCTGGGAAGCACTGAAACATCTGCCAATGCATATGATCAAGCAGAGGATACAGACAACAAGTGCTGCTGAAAAGCAAGTCTGAGTCTCATCCTGTTGGGTAAACAGAATTATTTTTGATTCCACCAATGCATCAGTGGAGCAAAAACAAATTGAAGACAATCAGGTCAGTTCCTAAAAATAGTTACATCTGTATTTTTAAAAACTAGGATATTAATATGGAAATGACAAATGATAGTAAGTCACCTTTTCTGGTATTTAAAAGCTTCTATTTGTTTGGTCTGTGATAAACTTGACAATACCTTCTGCGTTGAATAGGCATTCTAGAAAATTGAGAACAGCATGTGGTCATTGGGTCTGGCTTTACAATTAAGCTTTCCAGTGCCAGTAAATCACTTATATTTGTTCTGATTCTTCGATTTAATATTCAGTGACATATGGCATATATCCTCTGGTCTTGTCAGAAGAAGATTCAAATAAGGAGTATAGATAATCAATACAAATTCACCATTTCTGTTTCTGATTTCTGTACCATAGCTTAGTAGAAAAAACTATTAAGTTTAACACTACTAGTGTTAAGATTAGGAGCAGTATAAGGATACACACTACATCCACTTCTGCTTATTTTAGTTTTGGAAATTTTAGCAAGATCAAAAAGATATTAATAAAAGATAAAAGAAATCCAGATTGAAAATAAGTGAAACAATCATTATTTGCAGAAAATGTAATACTACATATAGACAACCATAAAGATGCTACCTAAACTTATTAGAAACAATGAATACACCAGTGATATTTTAAAAAAAAAGTATACAAAAATAAGTTGCATTTATATGTATGAGAAAATAAACTATATAATCCCATGCACAATGGCATCAAAAAAATTCAAATACATAGGAATTAATGACACCAAAGAGATGAAGGTCTTACTCAGTGAAACTAAGACTTCATTAAGGGATGCAGCACCTGACTTAAAGAGTTGGAAATAGGACGCTCCCAGTGGCACAGCAGGTTAAAGCACAGCACACTGAGAAGCTAAAGCCACTTCAGCATGAGTTTGATCCCTGCCCTAGCGGTGATCCACATGGCACAGCAGACTTCTCCTGACCTGCCGGCTATCCCCTCAGTAGTGTATTTCGTCAGTCGGCCTGTTCTGCTTTCCACTCTGTTTCTGGTGAATCCTCTCACTGCCCTGCACCTCTGGCCTGTACCCCAGTTCTGTATGCACAAATAAATAAATCTTAAAAAAAAAAAAAAGTTGGAAATGAATTTAGTGAAGGAAATAGTCAATAATAGTCAAAGTTTTTTTTTTGTTTCTGCCAAGAGTGATATATACATTTGATGTAATTGCCATCAAAATACCAAAGATATTCTTCTAAGAAATTTAATCAAAAATTCCAAAATTTATATGGATCCTAGAAAGTTTTAACTAAACCAATCCTGAGATAAAGGAAATACAGATATTATAACCTGACTTTAAAATATACTGTAAAGCAACAGTAATTTAAAGAAAACAATATTTTTAATAAAACTATACTTGTGGATCAATGGACAAGCATGGAAAGACCATAAATCAATCTGCCCCACTATCAGTACTTAATTCATGATAAAGAATTACTACCACACAATGGGGAAAGGAGGGTCTCTAACCATGGCACTGGTAAAACTAGATGGCCACCTGTGAAAAATTAAGCTGAGTAAGTATGTAGTTTCATGGACAAAGATATATACTATTTTTTTATATGAAAAAACTGGGGTGTAGGCCAGAGGTGTCGGGGAGGTGGGTAAGAGGATTTACCAGAGAGAAAGGGGAGTAGAACAGGTGGATCTACTAAAATAAACTGCTGAGAGGATCAGCGGGTCAGACAGGAGAGGTCTGCTGTGGGTCACCTCCCTGTCAGGATTGAACTCAACCACAGTGGTGGTATCAATGAAACTTAACCCCTAGGCTACCAGGGAAGACCCAAAGATAAATTTTAAGTGAATTAAAGACTTAGATATAAGACTTGATATGTATATATGTATATGTATATACACACACACGTGTGTTCTATGAAATATATATAATAGAATAGATTTCATGATATCAACTTATAAGGATGCTTTTGGAGAAACAACCCACTATGGAAGGGAAAAAAATAAATATAAGAGAATAAAAAAGGGAAGGGAATAAAAGCAAATATAAACAGTTGTGATTACTTCAAATTAAAACATATTCATATAGTGAAAGAAAAGGCAAGTATATTAAAAAGTCACCCCAATGAATGGATGAAGATAGTCTATTCATACATTACTCAGCTCAGATGAGGTTACAAATGCAGGATATGTAAGAAAAACTCCGCTTAAGAGAAACAATCAAGTTTTTAAATGGACAACAGGTATGAACAGACAGTAAGAAAATCCATAAAGCCTACAGATACATGCAAATACAGATACATTACTCATAATCACTTTTAAAAAGAGATGCAGATCAAAACCACAATGTTAGATATCATCTCACAACCAAGAGAAAAATGCATAAAAAAGACTCCGCAAAACAAGTTCTGGAGCTTCCTATCTGCCTGTGAATAGGCAGGTGTCTTTTCACAAACCTTTCCCCTCCACAAAACAGCAGTAGCAGCTCCATTACCCACCTGCAACCATGCAGGTGCATCTCTTTTTCTTTTCTCCCCTCTTCTAATTGTCCACTAAACCTGTACTTTTAGAATGTTAAGAAAAAACAAAGTGCTGGAGGGGCTGCAGTACAAGAGGACCCCTTTACACTACTGATGGGAACGCTAACTGTTGTAGCTGCTTTGGAAAATGATCTGATTTACTTAAAAACCAAAGATTAGAAATCCCATATGAACCAACAATCGTTCTATTCAAGGAACATGAAACTGACAACTCAACATATGTTCTACTATGTTTATTTAAGCATGATTTAAAACTGCTACGACATAGAAACAAACCTAAATGCCCGCTAATAAAGGGATGAATTAAGAAGAGATGGTATATCCACACAACTGAGTATTCTTCAGCATAAGAACGAAATGTTGTTATTTACACTGATATGGCAGGAATTCAAGGGTATTATGTACAGTAAAGCAAATCAGAATGACAAAGACAAATATTGGACATTTATGTTATCGATGATTTGACAAAAAATTTACTTCTA